CTTCCTTCCTTCCTCCTCTCCTTTCCCTTCTCTCCTTCCCCTTCCTCTCCTCTACCCTTCCCCTCTTTTTCCCTTTCCTCTCCTCTCTCCTGCTCTTACATTCCCTCCAATTCTTCCTCTGCTTTTCCCTCTCTCCTGTTCCTATTAATTCTAAAGTTCCTTTGAGGAAAAGCTTTTGAATTTAGCTTTAGGCTTTAGTAAGTCTAATGTATCTGGACCTAGATTAATTAGATGAAATGTGTGCTGCATAAAGGGCACCATAGAAAGGATTCTATCATTTGGTGTTGTGTAAAGGAGCAGCCTAGAAGGTCTATAAAAGAAAAGGACAATTATCAACATGAGGCTTTCCCCAAAGAGCTATTTCAAAATATAAAGACCTATAAAATTCAAAAATTCAATCACATAGAAGCCTGAGAGAAAACTCTTGAGTCAATTTATTTGGGCCTTCTCCAGATATATTTCAATCTAGATTGGACATCCAGATATACAACATAAACTTTTAGAGAAATTATTTGATACTCTCATATATCACAAATTAAATTGGATGGATTTGACAGGCATGTTCACATTAGAAAATATAGTTTTCTGCTTCTTATGTGGTAAGAATCCTGTCATTGAATTCAGCTAGAAATGGCTGTTTGGTGTAAATAGGTTGAAGACTGTGGGTCATAAAATAGGGCCACCATTTTGATGGATATAGAACAGTGAGGTAAATAATCTGAAGTTCCATGTTTACAAACAATTCCTTAAAGCTGATCTCCAAGCTCTTCCAATAGTTTTTATCATATTGTCTTTGTTCATTAAATTTCCTACATTCCATTAATGTTCATTAAATTTTAAATTAAATGGTATCTACATTTTGTTCATTTCTTGCCCACACATCCCTCAAACGTCCTTCAAAGTTGACCTCCAGATAGTTCACAAACATATAAAATAATTTGAAATGACCATTAGTAATTTCAAAGTCAAAATCATGGGAAGGAAAAAAAAGCAATAAACTCAAGTCCGAGTGGTTTTCCTAAGTTATCTGCTCTTGAAATGTATAGGACTGACTTCCATGTAAATATGTTTAGAATTGAGCTGAAGGAGTCTATTGTTATTCCATACTACACTCTTACAAAGATTTATTAGCTAATACATTAACCTGCAAGAGACACTTCAAAAACATGTCTGGAATGTCTGTGCTTAATGGATTTTAAGCCATTTTCTCTAAGGAGAAAGCAGGTTTATTTGATTCATTAAAAATCAGGTGCAGGTAAAATTTTGACTTTGGAAAGAAAGAAAAAGATTCTTAACTGAGATAAGTTACTCTTCCATATCCCAATGGGCAGATGAAGAAAGAAAACTGACTAAAACCATAAATGTGATTCATAAGGAAGCAAACAGTTCTACAGTTTAAAAAGCTAGGTGATCTTTTTTTTTTTAAAAAAAAAAAAGGCTTCTGAGAGTATTTATTCCACATGGCCATCAAATAAATGTCTTATATATTTAGCATCTCTGATTTGATGTTTTAATTGCAGAGAGGAATACGTTAATATCCTATATGCAATTAAGTTTATTATCTCCTTTATCAAATCCAGATTTAAGCCATTGATGATATCCGTGCAGCATCATAGCCCTGGCTGCAAAAAAAAACCTGCAGAAAAAATATATTTTAAAAGTGTATGTTAATGAAATTAGATTCATTACGTTTTGACAAAGCATGCCTGCCAAAAAGACAGTCGCCTTGTATCTGCTAGGTCCTGTTTTCAACTTCCCAGGTTCTGATGGGGGGGGGGAGTGGGGAGTTGAGAGATACTTGAACCTCTAGTGATATAGGGAGGCTGTGTTCACAAAATGTTTCACTCTGAAAGGCTGCATTTGTTCATTTTTTCCTTGGCTAGAAGTTGTTCTTGAACAGCAATGCTGTGTCTCATCTCTGTTTTTGTTTATGTACCGTGCACTCTTGAAGGGCAGATGCATTCTCTTTCTTCTTTAATTAATTGACTTGCCATTTCCCTTACTATAATTTCTTCAGAACCACCCAAGTTCAACTGTTATAGTAATGGTAGCAGCCATAGCAATAGCGCTTAGACTTATATACCGCTTCACAGTGCTTTACAGCCCTCTCTAAGCAGTTTACAGTCAGCATATTGCCCCCAACAATCTGGGTCCTCATTTTACCCACCTCGGAAGGATGGAAGGCTGAATCAATCTTGAGCCTGGTGTGACTCAAACTGCCGAACTGCTGGTGGTCAGCAGTCAGCAGAGTTACCTTGCATTCTAACTGCTGGGCCACCATGGCCATAGTTACAGAGGAAGTAATATTCATACTAACAATAACACAAAAAAACAGCAATAGCCTTAATCAGCAGTTTCAGGAGATTCTTTAAAAATCCCATTCCCCCTTTTTTAATGCATTGATCCTGCATGTATCCACAAAAAGGCAAAGCTTTGATTTTGTTATTACGATGTCATTCTCACCTACCCTACCCTGTGGATGACAGTAAAGTTTCCTCAAATCAAGCTTGACATTCATGGACATTTCCATGGTGTGTTCCCAAAATTGGGTTGTCCTTGGCTTCTTCTGGATGTTGCTTTGATTCTTATGATCTGGTGTTTCTCAACCCTGAAAATTCCAGCAATTCTGAGAGTCCACACATCTTAAAGTTGCTAAGGTTGAGAAAAATTGTTCTAATCTAGTCTACAGATATCTCCTATTCAAGTACTATCCCAGCCAAACCTTGCTTAGTTTCCCAAGTTCAATGAGACTGGCTAGGGCTGTGCCTGCTGACACATTGACAGCAGAACCTCAGTTTAGAACTGACAGTTCATTCGCAGTGCAAGATGATGAGCTGCTTTGCCTGAAATATTTTGCAACTGCTCTTTTGTTTCCTAGTGAAATATTATAAAGAATGTAAAGAACAACCAGTTTGTGAAGTCCGTCACCATATGCTGAGCTGAGTTTAGACTTCATCTCACACATAATGCAATTAAACTGCTTTTCATTTTCTGCTTTACGAATGCGTTGAAACGTATTTGAAATGGGGCTTTTAAAATTAGCCATGTGCTTAAATGCACTGCTGAACTTCAATTTAATTCTGGCAGAGTGAACTTTTTTAAAAGATCAAAGGCCAGGACACCCAAAGTCTTACCTTGGAGCATCTGCAGAAAGGAGCTGGGAGGAAGTACAGCTTTAACATATGGTAATCAAGTCAGTTAAAAACTGTTCCCATGATTCAGAAAACCATAGATATTTGAAAGAAACCACACTTGTCTTCTGCTTTCAGGTTTAAATTCACAGAAGTGGTGAACTGAAGTTGACAGTAGACCCAGGGGTGAGCTGTTGGGAGTTCACACGGGTTCGGGCGATCCTCTAGCTAGGATTCTGCGCAGTTCGGCCAACCCCCAAATGCCACCCTGGCTTGTTTGCCTGTGTGTGCATTTGTGTAATGTTGTGTTTGCTAACAATTTGTAATATAAAAGGGTTTGGATAGTGATATAGATATTCAGTAATGATTTCCTGGAAATTTGCAAGGAAAGAGTTGAGTTTAAGTCTATACCTCCCTTCATAGCTAATGGGATTCAAGAATTATTTTACATGTCCAACTTTGAAAGACAATGAGTGTGTTTCCATTACTGTCACATCCAGTTCAATTCAAAGTATGCTTTGAACTAATGCAGTATATCTAATAAATAGAAGGGCTAGAATAGGCATAAACTTTAAAAGCAAAGGAATATATGTAAGTGGAAAATTTTTTAAAGACCCTCGGAACCCTTAAAATAATTTTCTAGCCCTACCACCAAGAACCTAATGACAGTTGACTATCTACTTGTGAAATTGCCTGAAGAGAAACATTTACACACTTCTGGCAAATCATCTGAGATGTTAGTGAGAGGTGATCTTAGTCAGAGCTACATGGCAGCCAATAATAACAATTTTGTTCATCTGAATCCAGATGATGGATGACGATCAGAAGAACACTGAGTGCCACTGCAGAAGTGGTAGGGGCCCAGACTTACTTCCCGTCCTAGAATGAGTGTTAATGTTTCTCTTCAGGCAATTTCANATGTCGTCTAATACATGCTTGTGTTGCATTTGTGCTGATAAATTTATTTATCAGCACAAATGCAACATATATATATATATGTATGTATGTTTGTATGTATGTTTATGTTTATGTTTATGTTTATATGTTTATATTTATATATGTCGTCTAATACATGCTTGTGTTGCATTTGTGCTGATAAATTTATTTATCAGCACAAATGCAACATATATATATGTATGTATGTTTGTATGTATGTTTATGTTTATATGTTTATATTTATATATGTCGTCTAATACATGCTTGTGTTGCATTTGTGCTGATAAATTTATTTATCAGCACAAATGCAACATATATATATGTATGTATGTTTGTATGTATGTTTGTATGTATGTTTATATGTTTATATTTATATATGTCGTCTAATACATGCTTGTGTTGCATTTGTGCTGATAAATTTATTTATCAGCACAAATGCAACATATATATATGTATGTATGTTTTTATGTATGTTTATGTTTATATGTTTATATTTATATATGTCGTCTAATACATGCTTGACGAAATAAATAAATAAATAAATAAATAAATAAATAAATAAATAAATAAATAAATAAATAAATAAATAAATAAATAAATAAATAAAGTGCTGCTGTAATGCTGAGGAGATTCATTTTGGAAAGTCTGGTGTGAGCGTGCGTACAGTGTAACCTTTAATTCAGAAACACAGAATTTATTATATTTAACATTATTTTACTCAAAACTTCTAAGAAACCAGGGGCTGCGCAACCAGTTCTGGTTTTCGCCTTAGAATGCCCCGTGTCCTTCGGTCTTCTGTCTCCAGCCTAGCGCGCCTTCACCGCGACACCTTCCAGCCAACGGCACAGAAGGAGTTAAAACTCCTTTTCTTGAGCGGGGAGATTCCTTCCCTCCATGATGACGTCGTTTCGTTGGCCACGCCCCTTCGGAGCGTTCATACAAGATGGTGGATTTTTGTCTCTGACAGGTAGGAAGGGGTTTTGTGTGGTTTTTTTTTTTTGGATCCGTCTTTTACATTTTCTTTCATTCCGCTCGCCTGGTTCGGCTCCACCCCTCGGTGGTAGACAAGTGGGAGGGTGAACGGCTGGAGCATGCCTCTTCGGTCATGTACAATGGTTTCCCCCGTGCCGTTCCGGACGGAGGTAAGTCGCCTTCCCCTCTTCTTCCCCCCCCCCCATCCCGGTTATGGTATCTTCCCGTGTAGTAGGAGCCCTGATACGAACTGGAGGTGCTTCAGTTCGCCCTGCCGGTCCCTCTCCGAGCGCTTCCGATGGACCCCCCCGCCCACTCCTCGCCTTAAGGGATCGCTTTTGTGGACGGGTGGATCTGCTGTAAATGCCCCGGAGGCCCTTTCCCCGTTAGCCAAAGGAGCTTCTCGGGCTTGAGCAGGTGAACGCGGGGGAGGGCGGCTTCCTGGGTTCGGGCACAGGTTCGGGCAATCCAGCAAAGCCGCGCTGGGGAAAGGTGTGGCGGGGTGGTGGGCCAGCAGTTAGAGTCAGAATCCAAACGACCCGCTGGTAACTAGCCTACTGTGCCTTGGGAATGCTGCCGAACCGGCCTGGATTTGGCCTGCGGCTCTGGTTCCATTTACAGGTCGGTGGATTTTTTTTTTTTTCCTCTTCCGCAAATCTTCCCCGCCCACCTTGTCGTGGATTCCTTTCCCTAAAAGTAAGCCTGAGCCTCGGCTGTGGAACCAAGAGAGCCCCGGGAAGTCTTCTGCAGGATGGAAATGTCTTAGATTTAAAAATAAAATGAAAAAAGATGCCCCAGAGGTATATCTTCCTGCTCCTGCCCCTCAAAGAAGTGCTAATTTGAAGAATTTCCCCTTAGTGGAGAAAGTGGTTAGGACACTCCCTTGTACCTGCTAAGAGGGAAAGGCACTTATCTTTGGTTGAATGTGGCCCCAAGATAATTTGATGAGAAGTCCTGTTTGTTTTTTAATAGAAAATTATTTTATTTTTATTACATAGACAACATAATCACATAACAATAGGGAAAAAAAGGCAGTGGGGAAAAAAAAAGAAAACAAAACCCATCATCCCATGCAGTATGTCATTTGATTACAGGTGTTTTGATGAGAAGTCCTAATGATGCTTCTGTCTGTCGGTGGGGCCCTGTTATTTATTTTTCAACTACAGCTTAAATAGTACTCTAATCCAAACAAATAGGGATGCAATGGCCCAGTGGCTAGGACACTGAGCTTGTCGATCAGAAAGGTCGGCAGTTCGAATCCCTAGCACCGCGTAACGGAGTGAGCTCCCGATACTTGTCCCAGCTTCTGCCAACCTAGCAGTTCGAAAGCATGTAAAAAATGCAAGTAGAAAAATAGGGACCACCTTTGGTGGGAAGGTAACAGCACTCCGTGCGCCTTTGGCATTTAGTCATGACAGCCACATGACCACGGAGACGTCTTGGGACAGCGCTGGCTCTTCAGCTTCGAAACAGAGATGAACATCGTCCCCTAGATTTGGGAACGACTAGCACATATGTGCAAGGGGAACCTTTACCTTTTTAACCCAAACAAAGGTTCTAAGTGCCTTAAATGTCAATCCAAACATTTGAATAGAAATAACAGCCGACAAATAGCAAAACAGAACAGCAACACTTAAGGGGCAGTCAGTAACTTCCAGTCCCATAGCCGGAGAAGGCTTCTCATCCTGAATCTATTTCTCGAATGCTTTTGAATAACCAGGTTTTTAATGGCTATCCGAAACACAATAGTTTTGCTAGGCCAGTTTTCTTGCAGTGAGGCCATGTGCTTGAGGGCATTTCACTACGCATGATTAGTTTGCTGGAATTGGGCTTTCATGGGAGACGGTTGTGTTGCATCTTAGCAGCATGGGAAATCGGAATTTATTTCTCACGTTAAAAATGCTGAGAAAGAAACCCCTAATTTGAGAAATAAAATGTAATAGGTCCAAGATTCTGCAAGGTAAAAATACAAATGGCATCCATGGAAGGCAAATGAAAATGGCTTCTTCCAACTGGACTGTGTTTAGAGTGAGTGACATCAAAGGATTTGGTTGCTTGAGACTCCTTGTTGCCCTCAAACGAGTGGATATTTACTTGATGTCTGGTCGAGGAAAAAAGAAGATATGCTAATAGAATACTGTTGATCCATACGGTTCACCGACAAATGTGCGCTCGACAAAAGCGCGCCTGACAAAACCGCGTCGAGAAAACCACGAGGTCGAAATCGCGCCCACAGAAGGGTGCCGACAAATGCGCGCCGACAAAAGCGTGCCATCAACAAACAGTGCAAAAACAACGTAAGAACCCTAACCCTTACCCTAACCCTTACCTTAACCGTAATCGTGCTTTTGTCGGCGCGATTTCGAACTCGTTTTCTCGCCGTGGTTTTCTCGGTGCGCTGTTGTCGAGCGCGCATTTGACGGGTCACGGATCCATACAGATACACTATATTGCCAAAAGTATTCGCTCATCCATCCACATAATCAGATTCAGTTGTGAGCGAATACTTTTGGCAATATAGTGTATCTACTTAGAAGGATTGAGAAGGTAAAATAAAAAACCAGTGGTTAATCAGCAAATGAGTTTAACTTAGGCTGCTATTCTGTTTGCAGTACCTGCACTTCAACAATGAAGAGATCTTTGTGAACGAACTTACCTTCACTCCAGCTCTCGTTTCCTTTTCATAAGGAAAAACAAAATATCGGTACAAAGATCTGCCTCCACTCCAGACGCAGCTGTGTCTTAAGCAGAGACTTGGCTTGATTGACAGGTGCAGTGCAACTTTGCTCCTCTCTGCTGTCAGATATGAAATATCGGGGTAGATCTGAAATCCGCCAGGGCTGTTTTTCTTCTGGAACTCAAGACCACGCAAAGGAGGTCTGCTGAACCCCCCGCGCCCCAATTGCTTTTAAATTAGGGTGAAAAATCTGTAACTTTCTGGATGGGTTTCCAACATCTCTTCACTTTGGGGATACTCACAGGGAATGTGAGTGTTGATGACTGCAAGTTATCCGGTTGCAGAATTGTTTCCTTTTGATGGATATGCTGAGGATCTTTGCTTTATTTTGCACTGAGGATAGATTTTGTATCCCAATCTTGATTGTAAGTTGTTCTTAATTAGTTTTAATACAAAAAAAAAGGGATGGTGATGATTGATTACAAAGATTGGAGAAGAGCTACTAAAGGGACATTTATCCTATAGACAGTTTCTTCTCAATTTGGGTGAGTCTTGTAATTACCCTTTCCATTCACACGCCTGTCTTGGTTTTCTATTTTGAGGTAGTAGTTTGCTGCTTATAATACCTATGATTAACATGGACTTGAGTGACAAAACTGCTTATTTGTTCTTCTTATGGATATGCCTCCCACGTTATTAGAGAACAATTTAACAGCAGAAAATGTTCCTCTAGTGAAAGCAGCTACTGAGGGTTAGGCTTTAACCAGGAGCAAGTCCCTAGAGCTCATACAAATTAATTGCTGACAGAAAACTCTTGCATGAAGAATAGCAGGGATCTTGCATTTACCCATGAGGGTCTAATTTTGTGACCTGAGATGAAATTAGCCCTAATGTATTTCTGTATGCTGCTCCCTATGGACTAGTTTGACTGAAAGCAAGTGAGCTATATATAAATACAGTAAAAGTATATAAAGAGCAATACATGTATGCACACGCATCATACATTTCATACACAGAAATATAGAGTGTCTACTGCAGTTGAAATTTGAAGTTCTCAGTGCTGAAGAGCAATTACTACTTGGAATTTGAATGGTGGTTGTAGCAGGGTATATACGTATATTTACCAAAGCTGCTTACAATCTGACTATGTTGCTGTCTCCTTGTTTGTCTGTCTGTCTGTCTGTCTGTCTGTCTGTCTATCTATCTATCTATCATCTATCTATCATCTATCTATCTATCTATCATCTATCTATCATCTATCTATCTATC